GCAACAGCAACAACAACAACAACAACAACAACAACAACAACAACAACAACAACAACAACAACAACAACAACAACAACAACAACAACAACAACAACAACAACAACAACAACAACAACAACAACAACAACAACAACAACAACAACAACAACAACAACAACAACAGCAACAGCAACAGCAACAGCAACAGCAACAGCAACAGCAACAACAACAACGCAACAGCAGCAACAGCAACAGCAACAGCAACAGCAACAGCAACAGCAACAGCAACAGCAACAGCAACAGCAACAACAACAACAACAACAACAACAACAACAACAACAACAACAACAACAACAACAACAACAGCAACAGCAACAGCAACAGCAACAGCAACAGCAACAGCAACAGCAACAGCAACTGCAACTGCAACAGCAAAAGCACTAGCAGCAACACCAGCAACAGCAACTGCAACAGCAAAAACAGCAGCAATAACACAACACCCTCACTGACCAGCATCACCACCATCACCACCATCGCCACCATCACCGCCATTGCCACCAACATCAGCGCCGCAGCAACAACAAGAGCAAGAACAAGGACAGCGACGCTGGCCGCCGCAGCAATAACAACGACAGTGACCACGACGACGGCAGGGACAACAGCAACAGCAACAGCATCAATGAAGGACAGCGACAGTGACGGCAGCGGCGACCGGAACGAAGGCAGCGACAATGTCTGCGACAACGAGACCGACGACTACGTCAGCGGCGTGGGCGACGACCAGGGTAACGTAGGCACCAACAGCAGCTGTCGCAACAAAACGCCACAAAAAACAACAGCAAAACACAAAACCAACAGGCGCAACAGCCAGGACGAGAAGAGCACCGCCACCAACAGCAACGTCAACAGCAACATCAATGCGACGAGAAAAGCGACTGCGGCAGCGAACGATAGTGACGCCAAGGATTGCGCCCGCGACGAGGACAAAGCACAGCGCCAACAACAACAACCATCACGACAACCACCACCACCACCACCACCACCACCACCACCACGACAACCACCACCGCCACCACCGCCACCACCACCACAACAACAACAACAACAACAACAACAACAACAACAACAGCAACAGCAACAGCAACAGCAACAGCAACAGCAACAGCAACAGCAACAGCAACGGCAACGGCAACGGCAACGGCAACAACAGCAACAGCAACAGCAACAGCAACAGCAACAGCAACAGCAACAGCAACGGCAAAGGCAACGGCAACAGCAACAGCAACAGCAACAAGAACAACAGCAACAGCAACAGCAACAGCAACAGCAACAGCAACAGCGACAACAACAACAACAACAACAACAACAACAACAACAACAACAACAACAACAACAACAACAACAACAACAACAACAACAACAACAACAACGCAACAACATCACAGCGCCTTTTTGGCGTATGGAAGAGTGCCCATGACCGAGTTTCCGATGCGTTGCGCCGGCTTGCAGCTGCCCCTTTGCCGATTTCCGGGTGCACCGTGCCGACTTGCTGGAGTAGGATTTGCGCTGGCCACGGCGCCCAACGCCTGCCCTGTCTCTTCGGGCACGATTTCCAGATTCGCGCCATGCTGCAATTTCAGGCAGACGTACCTCTTGACCCGCTAAGGGGGGCTCTTGGTCGAAGTGGGAACTCATACCAATTTCAATACGAGGCACAAATTCTGGATTCGCGCCTCTTCTGCTAACCAGGCAGGCGGGTTTTTCCCCGAACGCAAAAAACACTTCTTGTCCACAGCCCACAGTCAATTGGATTAGCAGCCGTGCCTAGCGTGCCAGTGTTGAGAAGAGTCTGGCTTTGGCTGACTCTGGCTCTAACATGCACACCTATTAATTTTCACCAGGGGCAATTCCTTTCTTGCTCGTGCTTGTTTTGTCTTAGCTGTTTGAGTCAGGGGAGGAGGCCTGTGACTTTTTTTGGAATGGGCTGCTCGTTTCGGCCCTCTTGTTTTGTGCTTCTGGGCGCATTCTTGCGATCCACAGCGATTGAGGAAGAAGACGTACTGGCTTTGAGAAGGAAGGTTGCGTGGCAGGACTGGCCACAATGTGCAACCTTGCTTGCGCATCGCATGCTAGCACTCAGCGGCGCTGACCAGACATGCCCCACAGTTTATGGCTCAGTAGCGAACACAGAAAGGCGGCTAGTTGGTGGATAGGCAGGGACTAGGGATGTCCGACCAGTTCCTGGCTGCAGCTCTGGTCTTTGCCGGCAAGATCTATGAGTCGCCCCATTTTGGAGCAGGTGTCTTTGACATCTGGCCCGAATTGGAGCCCAAGCTGAAGGACCCCTTTCGAATTAAGAAGCAGATGCTGCGCGCTTGACATTTTCAACCCTTCTGTCCCCGAATTCCGTTCCGAGCGGAGCAGGGGCCCTGAAAAAGCACATCACACACCAAGCATGTGCCAGAAGACTTCTGCACTTGTCATGTGTAAATGGGCGCCTGGCAAAAGTCAACACTTGCGTTTGGTTTGCTGATATGAAGGACCTCATTCCCTTTGTGTCCGAGTCTGGAGTTTGCTACGCTGGCTTCCGCGGAGCTGGCCGGCTTCCTCGGAAGGGCCACGTACATGTGAGCCAGCTACGGCCACACGTGAAGGGAGCTTTTCATGCTCCTTACCGATCCAGCGTCTACGCTGCTCTGGAGGCTCCGCTGACAGATGACAGGGGAAGGGTCGCGCTATCGGATTTCTGGTGCTTGTACGTCGAGCAAAGTAGAAAGCCGTCTTGTGCTCTGTGGGCTTCTGTGTCAGACAGGATTGTTTTCAGACGGGGAAAGTTCCACTGCTATGCATTTTTCCCTGGCACACTTGTTTGATGGCCCTGGAGGAGCTAGTGACAAGAGAGGAGGTGCCTACACTATGTGTAGCCCGAGTAGGAGACGGGTTCGGGTCGGATGGCGCAATTGCCAACTCAGCGGTGCTTGCAGCGCTTACCATCACCGACAGACAGTGACGGAAACGCCAGATCACGTAGGCGCAGCTTAGGAGCTATCTCGGTCACGACGCAGGCAGCTTCTGGCACATCGCAGGGCCGAATGATAGCTTGCTGCTTGGCAGCGCTTTGTGTAACTGCGTTAACTGGAGTCAGGAGGCCGCCCGGCGTAGTTTTTTTTTAGGCCGCTGCGCTGCGCTGTGTGCTCAGTGGAGCAACAGGAGCCTAGACTGCTAACGCCAACTGCCGGCAACACTTTGTTTGTACGTGCTACGTGGCAGCCCCCAGTTTCTAGAATTTACAGTGCAGTTGCGCAAGATGGGGCCTAAACATATCATTTTTTGTCTTCTGGGCCACGATGATTTGCGCGGCTGCTCTTCCATGTGTGTGTGTGCCACGCTGTGTCCAACACAACAAGTGAGGTTGTACAAAACACCCGGTTTGCTGCCAGTTGTATTGAAAGCTTGCGATTTTCGAGATGCAGCTGCTAAACTGTACTTCCTGTACTTGTGTACTGCGCTCGCACCGAGAGGCTGCCTTGTTTGAGAGTGAGCTGCTAACATGCACTTCGTATACTACACTGGTTCTGAAAACGTGCGATTTTCGAGCTGGAGCTGCCACAGCAACGCCACAGCTGTCGCAAAAGGTCGCGAATTCCAGATTGAAAGTACAGTTATAATAAGGGGTTAAAAGAAACAACAGCCCCGACAAGTAATTCTGAGAATGCCGTTTTTTTCCATCCGTATGTGACGACTTTTTGACCAATTGGCTGCTTTACTTGTGGCCAGCATCCACCTGCAAAGTCAACCGCTGGCTGCAGGCATGCCTTTTTTTCCATCCGTATGACGAATTGGCTGCTTTACCTGGGGCCGGTATCCACCTGCAAAGTCAACCGCTAGCTGCAGGCATGACTGCCGCATCGATCAAGCACCAGCTGCACGCGGCGCTGGACCCTCTAATGATCGTGTCGATGATCGAGAGCATGAACATCCTGCAGGATTGCAGCACGGAGGCAGAGAAGGTAAAGATGTTGCGGGCGGTGAAAGACAAGTGCCCCGGCTTGTGGCGCAGTTGCTTTTTAAGCCAACTTGAATCCAAACAGAGCTCACGCCAAACCTACGCGCTCAACACATTTGTTATTGTGTTGCTTGGGTTCACGTTTGAGCTAGAGGCAGACCCCGAGCGTCTCGTTCCCGTTGTCGGGCGGCTTTCTTGGGCAGGGTGTTTATTAGATGAAAGGGCTGCGCCGGGACGTACAAAGGAGAAACTACATCAGGTCCGGGAAGGGAACTTGCGTAGGCAGTTCGCACGCCCGCATAATGTGATATTGTGTGGGCAAGCGGCTTGCGCGTGGTTAGTAGGCCCGTTTTGTGAATCTGTCCCTATCCGGGCGGGCTGCCAAACGGTGCGCTTCTAGTTCGCACTCAAAGTGCATTTCAAGACAGAAGCACTTGAAAGTTAGGCCCAGTGCCAAAAAAACACGAGGGGGATACTCAGCAGGGTTGTTTTGGGCCATCGCTGCGCCTGCGCTAGGTACAACAGCTCGGTCATTCTGAAGCCTTCCCTGAAGTTGGATGGGGCCACAGATACTATCGTATCCAGGCTGTTGTGCTGCCCGGCGGACATCTTGCACACTTTGCGACGCGATGTGTCAGAGAACGGGTTCAGCGGCCCGTACACGTACTCGCTGATGTGCTTCCCTGGCCTTTTCCCGGGAGGCGCAGCTGCGCGAGCCAGTGTCCCTACACTGGCATTCTTGGTTGGGGAGGATGCTTCCCAATATGTCGTAGCTTTTGTGTAAGGGCGATAGGAATTGAGCAGTTCACGACTTGCGCGTTGCTGGCTGGACACACATGTGACCATGTGACCACATGCTGGTTTTTGGCGCAGTTTTTCCAAGCCATCAAGCCTCAGCAATCCGGCTCTTGTAGGACTGACAAGAGACTGCTCGCACAAAGAGTTCAGGGAGCTGTTCCTGGCAGGGAAGGAGTCCTGCTTGGGAACCCGGAATTTCTGCATGGAGCGGTTCAAAGCGAACAGCAAGGCCCCGGCAGTGACGGAAGCTGTGCAGCACTGCAAGAGATCTTTGCCTGCAGTGACAGCGCCCTTGTTTGGACAGCCCGTGTGCAAGCCCCCCAAACCCGCCTTCGCTTTTGCGGCTTGCTGCGCTGAGGGCTGGTCCTGTCAGAGAACCTGGCGCGCCTTGTTCTCCGATCTGAGGCCGCTGTAAATCAGTGGCGGCACGAAGTGCTGGATCACAGGCACGACGGATCGCTTGATGCGGTGCAGGCCATGGAGACACCGGAGAACTTCAGATTGACGGAAATCGCAGCATCTCTACTGCATTTGGGTCAGATCTTTGGGCTCTTGCTTTTTTGGATTCCTGCAGAAGTTAAACTTTTTGCTGGGTTCACAGCACTCAAGGAATGGGCGTGCAAAGCAGTTCCGGGCCTGAGGTCAACTTTGACCCGCCAGCAACTGCAGGTGGAAGGGCAGGTTTCTCACGACCTTTCTCGGCCAGACGCAGCAGCGGCATACGCCAACCTTCTGGAGTCTGAGTTCGGCCAGTACACTGCTTTTTTGGCTGACTTGACCACGCGACAGACCGCCTCAGAGGAAGAGCTGAAGAAGCTTGCAGCTGAGGACCTGTCTTCTTGGCGCGCATCCGCAATTTTTTGGGATGGTTTACGGAGATGGAGGCTTTTTGCAGCTCTGACGACGTTTTGCTGGTAGTGGGGTCCTCTGAAGTGTGAAGATTTTAGGGGGCTTATGTTTTTGACCATCCATGCAAGACTGTAACACCATTTTCTGACATAAATAGGTGTTCCTCCTTGCCCTTGCCCGCTGGTCCTCAGAAGTGCTTTGCCAGAGTTGCGAAAGTTAGATGGCCTGCTCCGACCAAGCGAATATTGGCTTCGCTTTTAGACATTCAGTCCGAGTCTTCAGGACAAGGAAGAACTTCGCCGCGTTGCAGAGGCGCAGCTGCTGGGCACCGTGTCAAATGACTCGCAGGAGACTACCAACCAAAACAGCGTGCGCGGTGGCTGGTGCCGAATGCACCACATCGTGGTGGCTGACTTGCCTGTGAAGGTGATGCCGCTGATCACGGCCTATGTCCGGCGCTTTGCTGCAGAGAGGTCGCTACCTCTAGACTCGGTGGCAACGCTTGTCCTGGGCGACTTCAGTGGTAAGCCCTTTGTCTCCAAGGAGACTCTCACGAGTCTGCAGTCCTTCGTGGCCAACTGTGACCTTCCATGCTTGTTTTTCGTGCCGGCTGTCACGCCGCGGACAGGCGTTGCCAGAGTTGGGCACCTTCCAGAAGCTGAAGAAGGCTCCCTTTCTCAGTCTGACGATGCTGGCGAGGCTCGCAACCACAGGCTGCCCCTGTTTATCCCCGTTTAAATCATGGGTGGGCTTTCCTCAGCTTTCAGGCGCAATCAGTTTTCGGCTTGCAAGCGCATGCAATTTTGGTCTCGCGCGCGCATTCATTTGCAGGTGCGGTACTTTGAGCAAGACAGAACTGCGCAGACGTAACTCACGCACTCCACGCCTGCCGCAAGCGAGCCAAAGCGCGACGCATTCCCCTTCCCTGCGCAGCCGCGTGACTACTTGCGAACGCAACTTACCCACCCCTGCGAATGCAACTGCCCCCCCCCGCCTGCGATGCGGGAGCTGGAGCTGAACAGTTTGTGCGCCGGAGCTAACTTGCGGCGGATTTTTTTCACAACGAAAACAGGGCCCGGGCGGGAGCTGGATTATGTGGCAGGCGCCGTGCTTTGATCGATGGCGTGCCCCTGTGAGACCTGGGTTCTTGCGTGCTCCGACACTCAAAAACACCCGTGCGTCAGATTCGCCCGCGAATGTGTGTTTGTGTGAAGCGACCTGCAAGAGCGCTTTTGCGGGAGCTGGATTACGTGGCAGGCGCAGTACTTTGAGCAGTTGCGTGCTCCTGTGAGACTATAATCGAGCGCGCCCAAATTTGAGGCCCCAGCCTTGAGGGGAACCAAGTGGTTTGTTCGAGGATGCCCGTCCTGTGGTTTGACTGCAAGTGGGCATGAGCATTTTGACAAGGAGACACTCTAGTTTGTGGCAATGGCGCCCGCCTTGCAGGCTGTGGTTGTTGCGCTGCCTTCCTCCACGCCAGTCATTGGCACTGGCGGCACGATCGCGCAGCCAACCAAGAAGCGGCGAGCCCAGCTTCAGAGCCGGAGGCGGGAGTTCCGGGCGGCCTTGGCGCCGTCGACGGTGCTCGACGAGGACTTCAGCTTGCACTTTGACTGCTCCCGCAACGGAAAGGTATCCTGCTCTGGCTTCAGCTTGGAGCCAGTAAGCACCGACACCTGGCTGAGCAAGACCTGCATTGCCTCAGGCAGCGCAGGCCCTTTCCCCCGACCCAGCTTAGTCGTTGCCACGTCCAAGACAGCCGCAGTGACTGCAAGAGCGACTGGCGTGGTGAAGCAGGCCCGTTTTGTAATGGCAAGCGTTTCTTGTGCTGCCCTTGCTTCAACGCTCGCATCGCGTCGCGCATGCAGGTCTGGACACATGCACACGCCCGCCGCCAGACAGACTAACCCCCACACACGCACACAAAGAGACACGCGCGGGAACGTATCGACGCGCGGCAGCGCAAGCACGGACACGTTGTGCGCGCACGCGCGACAGACAGGCAGAGACGCGCACACAAACACCCACCCACCCGCCCACACAGCCCGCCCGCCCGCCCGCACGCACACAACCACACACACAAGCACACACACACACACCCACACCCACACCCCCACGCCCGCACGCACGCACACAACCACACACACACACACCCACACCCACACGCACGCACGCACCCACGCACCCACACACACACGCACACTTGCCCGCGCGCGCACGCACGCACGCATGCACGCACGCACGCACGCACGAGCGCACACGCCCGCACGCACGCGTACGCGCACTCGCACCACGCACACGCCGCGCACTCCGCGCACGCACGCGCCGCACTCGCACACGCCGACGCACGCCCCACAGACACAGAAACATCCACACCCACACCCACACCCACTGACACACGCGTACGCGCACGCGCCGGCGCACGCACGCACGCACGCACGCGCACACCCACACACACACACACACACGCACGCACGCACGCACGCACGCACGCACGCACGCACCCACCCACACGCACGCACGCACGCACGCACGCACGCACGCACGCACGCACGCACGCACGCACGCACGCACGCACGCACGCACGCACGCACGCACGCACGCACGCACGCACGCACGCACGCACGCACGCACGCACGCACGCACGCACGCACGCACGCACGCACGCACGCACGCACGCACGCACGCACGCACGCACGCACGCACGCACGCACGCACGCACGCACGCACGCACGCACGCACGCACGCTCCATTGCGCACGCACGCACGCACGCACGCACGCACGCACGCACGCACGCACGCACGCACGCACGCACGTTCGCTCTTTTCTTCTTTGTTCTTTCTTCCTCTCTATCTCTCTCCTCTCTCTCTCTCTCTCTCTCTCTCTCTCTCTCTCTCTCTCTCTCTCTCTGTCTCTCTGTCTCTCTCACGCAAACACAAACACACAGAAACACGGACGCGCGCTCACGGGCATGCTCTTGTGCACTGACGCGCGCAAGCAGCGTGCAGCTTGCGCGCAGAATGTTAGCGCATGCGCGCGGGCTGGCAGGAGTCTCCCCACCGCTTACTTGCAGCTATTGCTTGGGATGTTTGGGCTGAACACTAGGAGTACTGGACAGATGTGCCTATTTTTTTGGAGTTGAAATTGATTTGGCTTTTTTGGTCTTTGCCGCCTCAGCAGGTGGCTCCGGGCGAAGCCAGCTTCGCGGACCGATCGCAGAAGGGCCCTTTAGCGTACCAGAAACTTTTTGAATCCGTGATAGATGGGCTGACCACCAGTTCCCAAAAGAAGTCTTCTTTGGTTGTGGTTGCGTTGGAGGGCGGTGTGGCTGATGACGGCCTGGGAGTTCTGAAGGCAGGCCAGAGCAAGGGCCAATTCCCTGTTGGGTACCTTTACCTGGAGCGGCATGACCATCTCAAAGGCATTGCCCGAGTGCTCCGGAGGCAAGTACTTTTTCGATTCAATTTTCTGTGCTGTGCAGTCTGGCACGCATGCGTGTGTGACATGGCCCGAGGCAAGGCTCATGTCGGAGATTTCCGAGCTGCTAGTGTCCAAGGCCCTGACAGTGCCGGGATTTACGCCAGGCCGCAACTCCAACCAGAAGAGCAAAGTGAACGTGTCTGAAGAGGCAAGGCTGTTCAGCGAAGGCTTAAAGGTGCTCAAGCTGGACACAGAAGCTAGGCTGGTGGTGCCTTCTGACTCCGACGTTGCTTCGTCTCACGCTTCAGCGTCGGTGTTCAGTACACTCGCTACAATCCGGGAGAAGACAGAGAAATTCAAGGTGCAAGTGGGCGCAGGTGACAGTGCGGACGCGGCGGTTACCTTCAAGAGCAAGGAGCTCTTTCAGCAGCGGCACACGGTGGCTCAAGTTCTCGGCTTTGACTTCTGCAAAGGGCTTAAGCTCCTTGTGCACTCCAGCGGCTGCGCGCTCTACAACGAGACTGACTCTGAGCTTGTGGTGGGGGCAAAGGGCCCCACGCCACTGATCGGCTACGGAGCCATGTCCGTGATCACTTCAGCAGAGTCCGAGAAGTTCGGCTACTTGGCGAATTTTCCACGAAAGGAAACAAGTTGCCTGATGCGCCACGCGCCCTCTGCAAAACGCTTACGGGGCCACAGACCCAAAACGCAATCAGTGGCATTGCTTTGAGTGTGCGGGGCTATCCACGCACGCCCGCGCGCACGCACTCACTCACCCACCCACCCACTCACTCGCTCACCCGCTCGTTTGGTCTCACTTTTACTGTGGCACTCTCACTCACACCAACTCACTCTCTCCAACTCACACTCACTCTCACTCGCTCGCATTTGAGCTCCAAGTACTCTTCACGGACTTCAGTCACGAAATCTGCGCCCAAGCTCCCAACTATGGCGCCTGCCACGAAATCCGCGCGGCCTCTCGCGGAAACGAGTCGGCTGCACGGCAGGGCCACTGAAAGCGACACCCGCGCAAACGCTTGCGCGCGCGTACCAAGCAAGACGCCTCAAGCAATCACCCCTGAGTTGCGCAGCGCCAGAAAAAGGGGAAAATACAGCAATCTTAAGAATGCCCCGCGACGAAACCCAGCGGCGCGTGCTCAGTGCCTCACCGCGGACGGCTGCGATGTCTCCTCGCGAGCACGGCCTCCACCCCCGACACCCCACTTTTGAAAATCTCCTGGCTTAAGAACTGCCGCTCCGCGCGATGACTTTTAGCTCGTGGAAATTGTGTGTGCATCTTCATCATCTTTAGGAGACAGAGATGTAAAAAACTCTTATCTCACGTGTATCGTGGTTATGGTTGAGGAATGGTACAAGCAGCCCTGTTGACGCCATCTAACCGGCAGGAAAAACGATGCGCAGTGGCAGTGCTTTGACAGCTCTGGGGCAAAGGGTGAGGGGTGTTTTTGGGCTGCCCGGGCTCTAGCAGCCACGCTTGCACGGACAACCTCTCGTTCTAGAAGTGAGCGCGCCAATATGAAATCGAGAATAGGAGGCTCTAGGGTTAAATTTTAGCTTTAGCAATGGATGGCGCGCTTATCCATAGCCAAAATGAAAAGTCACGGGTGTGGTGTTCGGCCGTGTGAACAGCTTGCGCAAGTCGCTGTGTGGAATCTGTTTCTTTCGTGGAGACACAGCCGCCGCCCTAAGGCGGACGCAAGATGCAGTGGACCTTGACATCCGCCACCGCAGCCTCAAAGGTCCTGATGCTTCGAGCAGGAGATGCGTCCTGCGCGCAGAGCGTTGGCAGCGTCTTGGAGGATTTGAAGTACAGCCCTGATAGGCCCGACGTGGCCCTGTATGGCCACGATGGCAGCACAACAGCAAATCGACAGCTCATGCTCAAGGCACGCCTGCCTATGCTGGCAGTTGCTGGCGAAAACCCAACCGCCAGCCAGGTCACGCTTGCCAACGCAGGTCTTCTTGTGCAAAAGCCTTCGTCTCCCAAGCTGAAGCTAGTGCGTGTGCTGCAGGCAGCGGAGAGCCCAGCTGCCCCAGCATGCTACCTGATGCCTCGCCAGCAGAGCACACTTTTCTGGTTGTGTGCGGAAAAGCTAGCGCTTGCCCCGCGTGAAGTTTTGTGCTTGTAGGAGTAGCTGCGATGCAAGGTCTGCCTGGGCTTGCTTTTGAAGCTAAGTTTGCAAGGCCTGAGTCGGCAAGGGTTTTGCTCAGGTACAGTATGTGACAGCACCAGTTAAGTGCAGGCAGGCCGGCCCTGTACCAGCGCAGCTACCCTTTACGCAGGGCCAGCAATTTTTCCGAGTAGGGAGCTGCTGCCGCACGGTTGGGCGCTGTTGCAGGGCCCGTAGTTTTCAACAACTCAGAGCTGCGTAGCTTGCCAGATTCCAGCGCTGCCTCGGTGTGTCTTCAAATCTGTTTGTGTGATTCACGCTTCCTATCCCCAGAGTGTTTCAAGCAGCCTGTGGTGACACCTAGCCCCGCGAAAGACTAGCAGTAGGAAAGGCAGGCCTGCAAATTCCCAGGCAGCTCTTGAGGAAACCCCACAGCCGCTGCCATCAGAAACTCAGCGACAAAAGGTTTGGAGCGATTCCTGCATGTGCTGAATGTGATTTGCCACGCTGGGCACATGTTCGCTCAATGCGTCTGTCTGCCCTAAAGACTTGAGTGCAAGTCTGGTTTGAGCACTGCGAGTTTCTTGTCGCGCGCAGTCATCTTGACACGAGGACTACGCAGCGTGCCAGAGAAGCGGCAGACCATGGATGTGCCTGCAGGAGCGGGGATGCTTGTAGACTTTGCTTGCTCTTCCCCTACACATCAACCGCCCAGAATATGTGGGGGTCCCTTGACTGGTCCAGAGTTTTTGGCCCGAGTTTGTCCTGGTTTCAAAACGGAAAGGGAGACCCCATTGCAACAGTAGGGTTCAGAAAGCAACTTTTGAGCAAGTGCTTGTGAGGGGAAGGGAACCTCTTAATCTGCAGTGTCCACGATGCAACTTTGGAGGTATGACTTTTACAGGGAAGCGACCCTGGCCACTTATATTGGCAGGTTTTGGTGTCAACTAGGATCTTCGTTACTCCCTCCAGCAGGCTGTAGACGAGCAAAAAGCTGCTTCGTTTCCCCTCTGGCGCGGCAAGACGCCTAGCATTTTCCCCCACTGCACGCCCCCACACACGGCTCAGCACAGTATCCATGCCTGCCACATGGTAAGCACGCCCGCTCACAGGCACCTACCGATGCCTGGCAATTGGGAAGCCACATGGTGTGAATGGTAAGCGCGCTCAGCACTGTCACACACACACACACACACGCCTGCCACGCGGTAAGCACGCCCGCTCATGTGCTCGCTCAGCGCTGCCAAATGGTAAGCGCGCCCGCTTAACACATGCCCGCGTGCGCCCATGATAATCGCGCTCGCACGCGCGCTCGCTCAGCGCTGCGCACACGCCTGCCACATGGAAAGCGCGCCCGGCTCTCGTGCACACCCGCTCACGCCGGCGCGTTGCTTTATATTTAGGCGGAAGGGGTCAACAGTAACGCACTGCTGGCCATGAGCAGGCGCCATTTGTTTTGTTGCGCTGGGCGTCTTTTTTCTTTGTCTGTCAGGACTTCTGCCCGCGCAGCCTCCAGCACAGCTGCCTGACCTGGCAGGGTGTCAGTCAAGCGCCGGCGCTGAAGGCGCAGCGCCACTTCCGTCCACGCTGCCCAAAGATCTGCCGGCCTCCCTGCCTTCTGGGCTGTATCGTGGATCAGGAGGACAATTGGATGTGCAAGCTCAGGCGATTCTGGGTCACTTGATTCAGCACTTTCGCGAGTGCTATACTGAGGACACTCCGTTGCAAACAAATTGTGTCATTCATATCTTGCAACCTTCTGCTTTACATCCGAAAACGGGCCACGCCATTTGACTTGCCCTGGCAGGTGCTTGCGGTCTTAAACTTTAACTCCAGCACCCGGTTGACAGGCTTCTTGAGCAAACTGACCGGTCTGCAGAGAACGGTGGTCCTTCGGCACATGAAACATTTGGGAGTTGACGATGACCAGCCTGTTTGTCTCAACATGCCGCGGTATGGCGGCGGCCGCCCACGGCAAAAAGAAGAACCAGCAAGCAGCGTGGCACTGCCCAACATGGTCTTGCCCGAAGATTTGCCTGCAGAGGGCTTTGAGCAGGAGCAGCCACTATTTGGCTCTGCCGAGGACGGGGCCGAGGAGGGCCATGTGGACTGCGCCGCAGGGGCGGTTGCCGAGGAAGTGGAGGCGCTTCTGCCGGGCTTGAACTTTGGTCTGCCGCTCGTCCTTCAGCCTGCCTGCGCACTTCGGGTTTCTAAGCCCCTAGCTTCGCGTGTGAAGGAACACATACCAAAAGAGAGCGGGCGCTCTCCGACAATTCTGTTGTCAAATCCCTGTGCTGACCCTGGCCGCATTCGCAGTGCTTTGATCGTAAGTCCTGCCAACTTCCAATAAGCGAGCGCGATTTATTTTCTGGCATTTCCATTAATTTACGATATATTTGTCTGCCAGTGGCAACGCTCAGGAACGCTAACTCTACGAGTCTACAACACGTGCTGCGCTGCTGGAAATTGGCAGCCGAGAAAACAAAGGCTGATCTGGATCCCTGCCAGTACGGAGAGTTAGCTCGCTTGCCCCTGCACCAGAGGAACATAATGGTTGGCCTTCGCCTGGGCGGGCTGGACCACAGCTGGTTTGCCATCGCACTACCTCCCAGACCTCATATCTGTTTTGGGCAGTTGGTTTCCTGGCGAGTTCGGGGAGCTGAATCATTCCAAGCATTTCGTAACCACCTTCAAAGCTTCCTGCGTCCGAGCTATGCGAAAATTCAAGTATTGGGATCTGCACGCTCGAATGCCCGCTCTACAAATCCCTTCGGATGTGGCCATCGTCAGTGACGGCATTTCAGCGCAGGATGGCACGCCGTTGCACGCCACCCTCATTGTGCAGGAGGGCCGCTCCAATCGACTTCAGGTGCACTTGCTTGGGCTTCACCCAGTGGCCGGCATTGCCAAGGATGCAGTAGTAAGGAATGTCTGCTTATAGTAACCTAATTATTTGGGATTTTTGGTCCCAAAACAGCCAAATTCTCAACCCGCTGAACGTTTTTTCCGATGTCACCGGTCAATGTCACCACTCCGTTTTTGGTGCAAAAAGCGCTGAAAACGGCGAACTCCGAAAAGTGCGTTTTTTCGTGTCCGGCGTCAAAAGTGCAGCCCGGGGCTCCAAATTCGCTCGTTTTCCTGCGAAAACCGGCTCCAGGTGTTTGCAGTGCTCCGAAATCCGTGTTCTGCCTCGAAAAACCTGCGAATTCCAGCCCGCCGAGCTTGTCACCGCCGATGTCACCGGTCTCTAACACGTCAGCCCGCCGAGGCACAGCCCAGAGCCAGCCAGCGTCTGACGCGGCAGCCCGCTGAGGTGCTTCCGAGTAACACGTCAGCCCGCCGAGGTTTTTCCACGTAACGCGTCAGCCCGCCGAGCTCGTCACCGCCGAAGTCACCGGTCTCTAACACGTCAGCCCGCCGAGGCCCCGGGGAGGAATCGAACCTCCGAAACGTCGCTACGGAGAGCAACGCCTAAGCCATCTCACCATGGGCTCTCGTTACCTGTCCAAAACGGCGCTTTTTGGCCCAAAAACGGTCTCACCGCGATGTCACCGCTTCGTCACCGCTCTCTAAAAGGCTTGGAAAAGCGAAGTCGGAAATCCGACCTCGCTCCAGGCCGAAGTCGGATTGGGGCCTAGTGCGGGCCTGGCGCGGGCCTGGCGCGGCCCTGGTGCGGGCCTGGTGCGGGCCTGGTGCGGGCCTGGTTGCGGGCCTGGTGCCTGGTGCGGGCTGGTTTGGGCCTGGTGCGGGCCTGGTGCGGGCCTGGTGCGGGCCTTGGTGCGGTGGGGAAGCGCATCGCTTCCGGAGTTGGGTTTCATCCCGAAAACCCCATTGCCGGGCCAGCGCCGAAGGTCCGTCAGCGATGCTGTCCTCGCAGTATCGCTGACAGAGTGTTTTTTCACCACTTACACGCCCTGCCGTCAATCCTGTCGTGACCACAGGATTGCCCCTTCAATCCTGCTGTGGCAACAGGATTGCTGCCTCAATCCTGCTGCGGCAACAGGATTGCTCCGGCCATTCCTGCGCCACACACAGGATTGCCCTGATGCAGCACCAGCAGCTCTGGCTTGGAGCCGTTCTTGCCCGAGCACAGCCTTGTGATGGAGCCGGCCTTGCTGTAGAGCTCCCAGGCTTCAGGCACGTCGTTGATGCTCAGGAGGAAGGGCAGGCCGCTTGCGAAGAGCGCGTCTCGGAGCTCTGAGTGGAAGGTCAGGTCATGCCCCCGCCTCCTCGTGCCATAGTAGTTCATGCTGCGGCCTGGGAAGATGTAGGGAGGATCGGCGTAGATACAATGCCGCGGCGCTTGGCTGGGCAGAGCGCGTAGATGGGCCAGTGCGTCCTGGCATCGCACGGTCACGTTTGTGGGAGGCCGTTGCAGACGCCGCACGCTGCTCAGCCCCAGCGGCCGCTGCTGTGTGAAGGAGCCCCACTTTCCCGAGAAGCTGTTGCGCAGCAGGACGTACGAGCAGGCGGCCCGACGCCCGGCGCGGCCTCTCTGAGTGCCCGGCAGGAGGCGACTGAAGTAGAAGCGCCTGTCTATCTTGCGCCCCGCCAGGCGCAGCAAGGAGCGCAGGAAGACCGGGTCTCGCTTCAAGTAGCAGCGGTGCAGGTTTGCGACG